GTCCAATATGCTTCCAAGTTTGCCCAAGAAGCCTCCAAAACGGCCCAAGCGGGTTCCAGGATGGCCCAAGACGCCCCCAAGAGACTTCCAAGACGGCCCAAGATGCCTCCAAGAGGTCCTCCAGGAATGCCCGAAGAAACCACCATCCTGGATGTTCGATCTTTTTTTTTTTTTTTTTTTTTTTTTTTTTTTTTTTTTTTTTTCCCCCCCCCACCCACCCCCCCCCCCATTCTTTCCAAAAGCCACCCAGACGCCCAAAAGGCCTTCCACGATGGCCCCAAAAACGGCCCTGCTGCAACACGCAACGAGGGCCAAAAATGATCAGGTCCCCCAAAACGGCTTTCCGAATGGCGTCAGACGGGCCAGGGGGGGGGTTGGGGGGTTTTTTTTTTTTTGTTTTTTTTTTTTTTTTTTTGTTTTTTCGTTCTTGGTTGGGTGCGTTTTTTTTTTTTTTTTTTTTTTTTTTTTGGGGTGTTTTTCTTTTTTTTTTGGTTTTTTTTTTTTTTTTTTTTGAGGCCAACAAGACGGCCTAACATGGGTCAAAGATGGCCGAAGACGGTCAAGAGGGAGGGCCCCAAGAGGTCTCCAAAACAGCTCAAGAGGGCCCCCAGGAAGGTCCGCTAAATGACTTTCAGAAGTTTTTTTTTGGCCTTTGCTTCCAATCGGCCTTCCCGCAGCCCGAGACGGCCCAAGAACCCCCAGATCGCCCCAAGATCACCCAATAAGCCTCCAAGATGGTCCAAGAACGGCCCCCAAGACGGCCCTAAGGAACCCCAAGACGGCCCAATAGGCCTCCAAGACGCCCAAGATGGCCTGCAAGACTGCCCCTGAGTACGCCAGGAGGGCCCTAAGTCGGCCCAGAGAGGCACCCAAGACGGCCTCCGACGGCGCCAGACGGACCAGGAACCCATAAAGACGGCCCCAGATGGCTCCAACATGGCCCAAGACGGCCCAAGAGACCCACAAGAGACGCTCGCGAGTAGCCTGCGCTGCATAACTTGACACGGATCGCGCCCCCCCCCTAGCACGCGCGCGCAAGGACGCCCGAGTGAGCTCGACATGTGGCGCGAGAGGGCCGCTTGGCACAGTTTGATGAGCATGTTGAAAAATCGATGGTTTTCTTACTCCCCCCCTTCTCCCTCGCTCCTCCAGCCCGTCTCGGGCCGGGCGAAAGGGGGGGATAGCAGAGGGAGGGGGTTTGAGAATCAAATCGCGTCGCTGATTTTCCCAGCGCCTCCCGGCGCCGGGAGGCGACCATGTGTCGAGGAGTGGGCCCCTCGGTGGGGCCGAAACCACCTGCATGCAGCAAATTTCGTGACCCCCCGTTTTCCAATCCCCCCCTTTCGTCCGGCCAGCCCGTCCTCCTCGCCCTCTCTGGGCTCGCTTCGGCAGGCTGAGGGGGGCGGAGTTTCAGGGAGGAGCCTCTCCTCCAGCGTGGCACCCTCTTCGTGGCGTGGACCCCCGGGGGGCCTCGAGCCTTGGCCCTCCTCCTCTTCCTCTTCCTCTTCCTCCTCCTCCTCCTCCTCAATTACTCAATATGAATACTACTCTCCCTCTTCACCTGATGACGGTTTGAAAGTGCTCGACCCCCCCCCGCGTACGGTTTTTTACACACAGGTTTCCCCAGAGTTGGGTTTTCGCATGCTTTGTCTTTCAAAATGCTGCTCTCGCTGAGGCGCCGGCCTCTCCCGCATTCCCTACCTAGGCTCTGCCTAGAAGGGTTCTTACCGTGTGTGCTTAAAGGGTCGGGCAGTGTAAATCGCCCCGGGCGGTTCCCCCAGGATCCGCCCCGCGGTTCCCCCAGTTGCACCCCCTGGGTTCACCCAGCTTAGCTTAGCTCAGCTCAGCTTAGCTTATCTCATCTTAGCTTAGCTTAGTTTAGCTTAGCTTTGCCTAGCCTAACCTAGCTTAGCTTGACTTAGCTTAGCTGATATCATCTTAGCTTAGCTCAGCTTAGCTTGGCTTGGCTTAGCTTAGCCTAGTCTAGCACAGTTTAGCTTAGCTTATCATAGTTTAGCTTACCTTAGCGCAGCATTAGCACAACATATCATAACATAGCATCGCCAATCATATCATATCACATCATATCATAACTCAGCATTTCATAGCATGGCATAGCATAGCATATCATAGCATTGCTTAGCATCGCATTGCTTAGCATAGATGTAGATGTAGGTGTGAGTCTCGCTGTTGATGTTGATGTAGATGTAGATGCAGGTGTAGATGTAAATGTAGCTGCCGGTTGTTTTTGTTAGTTTTTTGTAGTGAGTGTTGATTTTGTATTGGTGTGTTTGGTTTGTTTGTTAGATTTATTTGTTGTAGAGTTGTAGTGTTGTTTTTGTTTTTAGATTGTAGGAGTAGATGTTTGCTTTACTAAATGATGCTCCCAACCCTGCCGGTAGGGGAGGGGTCGCACTGGGATGATTTTTTTCAAAAAAAATGCTTGACTCTCGCATGGCTGAAGGCCCCCCGCCCGGCCCTCATTTTCGGGGCCCACCCCCCCCGCTCGTTCCGAATCGTGCTTCCGCTGCAGCGCTGGCCTCATTTCCGTGCTTCCGCTCGTTCCGAATCGTGCTCCCGCTGCAGCGCTGGCCTCATTTCCGCGCTTCCGCTCGTTTCGACTCGTGCTCCCGCCGCAGCGCTGGCGTCATTTCCCGTGCCATGCCACGGCATGCAATGCAATGCCAAAATGTTGATAGCATGATGCTACGCTTGCGGTGCTCTGATAAGCCATCGCCCACATGCCCTGTGCCGTCGTGCTCTACAATGCAATCGCGTACCCTTTCGGGTATCATTGCCCTCTGCTCGACATCCGCTGTGCGAGTAGAGAGGGACTACGCAGTGGTAAGGGATGGGCCGTGCGAGGAGGGGTAGGATATAAGATATGACGCGAGCGCACCTAGCTTGTAATCCTCCCTCTCCTCCTTTCCTACCCACTCCCCCTCCCCACTCCTCCCCCTCCTCCCCCCCCCCCTCCTCCCCCTCCCTCCCCCCTCCTCCACCTCCTCCCCTCCTCCCCCTCCTCCCCCTCCTCCCCTCCTCCCCCTTCTCCCCCTCCCCCCCCTCCCCCTCCACCTCATCCTCCCTCCCTCCTCCTCCTCCTCCTCCTCATCCTCCTACTTCCCCTCCTCCTCCTCCTCCTCCTCCCCCTCCTCCTCCTCCTCCTCCCCCTCTCCCCCCCCCAGATGGCACCAGCGCGGTCTGGCGGGGCAACAGCACGGCTTTCGTGCGCCCGCCGCGGTCGGGCGTCCCCAGAGGGTAAGGAAGCAACTGCTGGGAGGTCTTCGTCGGAAAGATCAGGGAGGATTAAGCCCCATTGTGGGGCTGCTGCGCCAGGGTGGGCTCTTCGGATTGAGCGGGATTAAGCCGGAGAGAGCGGAATTGAGCCGGACTTCGGACCAGGGCAGAATCAGAATCTGACCTCCCAGGAGTTGCCTCCGAACAGGAGGTAAGAGCCCAGCTCGGGATGCGGGCAGTGCTTCTCATCCAAGGCTGATGCGGAGCGGCCCCCCCGGAGGGGCAGAGGCCCAAGCCGGCACGGGTGGGACTGGCGCAGCAGGAGTCGGAAGGGTGCGATGGGGGAGGAGGGAGAGACGAACAGGCGAAGGGCGCGAGCACGCCTGCCGGTTTGTCGGGGCCTCCCTGGAGGCCTCCAGCGACACTGGAGGGACAAGTCGAGAGATGTATGACACGATGAGCGGAAAGGGAGTGGAAAATAAATGTGGGGCTGGTGGGGCTGGTAGACATGCAGCCAGAAGTGCACGCAGAAGGGAACGCAGTGAGAAACGCACGCAGGAGTGTCATGACGAGGAGGAGGAGGAGGCGGAGAAGGAAGAAAGAAGGAGAGCATGCTCTGGGAAAGCAAGGACACCAATCAACATGTGGGAAATAGCGCATTGGAATGCCCGAAAGGGGTACGGGAACAAACAGGTACGATGCCCAACAACAGATGCTGTCCAAAAGCGACAGCGGCCGCTGTTGGGCAGGCGACCTGTCGTCTCACATGGATCACGTCGGCAGCGACACCGACGACGACTCCTGCTCAAAACGAACAGAACATGCTGTTGGTCTTCGCACCCGTCCGCGACCCACCGCGCGACCCGCCCGCGACCAACCCGCGACCCACCGCTGACCCGCCCGCGACCCACCCGCGACCCCTTCCCGCGACCCCTTCCCGCGACCCCTTTCCGCGACCCACCCCACCCGCGACCCACCCTGCGACCCACCCGCGACTCGCCAGCGACACCCCCGTGCGCTGGAAGCAGCGGAGACCGTCGGCATCGTTTCGATCCAGGGCGTTGGAGGCCCTGGGAGGCAGAAGTGTCCTCCTCCTCCCCCTCTTCCTCCTTCTCACGGGAACGAGAACTTGCATAAACATTAGAAAATCGGAGGTCCGCGCGGGTTTCTTGGATCCGCGCTGGACCCCGATACGTGGCGCGCGGAGCGCGCCGGGGACGGCGCCTTTGGCGCTGCCAGGAGGCCCCAGCGCCGATCCGAGCAATCCGCGCGGACCTCCGAGTTTTTATGTTGATGTCATTGTTTGTTCCCCTATTCTCCTACTCATGCTCCCCATCCTCCCGTGGGTCTTTGTACACAATTTTCCTTCCCCGCTCTGTACTCGTAGAGAGAAGATAATGAGAGAGAAGGAGAAATAGAGAGAGACACTACACATACACACATAGATACACATACATCTATGTATATGCATTTATACATACAGATGTATGTACACAAATGTATATATATGTATATATACACATAGACACATATATGTAACTATGGACATACATGCACACATATGTAAACCCATACACATACACATGTATGAGAGAGATGCTATGCATACACACATATCTGTATATACACATATGTAAATATAGATAAGTATGTATGTGTATACATATATTTATATATATAAATGCATATATTATGTACTCATGCCGATCGTACCGATGAGTCCGCCAGGGTCTGGCTCGGAGCGGCGGGCCCGCGCGCGGGTCCTGGCCGAGGGCCGCCGCGACGCTGGAGCGGTCGGGCGGCAAGTTGGGCGTCCGCGGCAGCGGGGTCACCGAGACCACGAGCCTCTGGGCTTTCCTCGTCCTCCTCCTCATCCCCCTCCGTTTCTCCTCCTCCTCCTCCTCCTCCTTCCCCTTCATTTCTCTTCCTCCTCCTCCTCCTCCTCTTCCTCCTCCTCCCTTCCATCCCTCTTCCTTATGAATCACTCCTCCCAAGCGCGCCCTGAGGCCAGTCGAACGGGCGGGCCGTGCGTTTCGCCTGATACTTACTCACTGTTTATAACCCTCATGCTTAAACGTTACAAACATGTCACGGATTGAGGGCGGGTGATTTTCGAAATGTGGCTCTCGCCTTAGCGCCGGTTCCATTCTTTTGTTTAAAAATTTTGAAAAAATGAAAACCGGCAACAATTTCACGGATTAAGGGCGGGTCGTTGTCAAAATGTGGCTATTGCCTGAGCGCCCGCACATTCGTTTCAAACAGTTGCAATAGTTTAGTTTCACGGATTGAAGGCGGGTGATTTTCAACATGTGGCTCTCGCCCTAGCGCCGCGCACATTCGCGTCGTAGATTTGGAAAACATTCACGGAATGAGGGCGGGTGGTTTTCAAAATGTGGCTCTCGCCTCGCACATTCGTTTTGAACATCTGGCAGAGTTTCGCGGATTGAGGGCGGGTGGTTTTCAAGATGTGGCTCTCGCCTTAGCGCCGCGCGCAGAGTCGCTTTTAAAAAATCCCACCAGACATCTGGGCGTAGATGGTCCAGAAAGCTGTCCCTTCCAACCACATTCTTCCCCTTCGGGGAGGGGTTTATCACTTTCCCTATTACTATACACCCCCTCCCCCAGACGACCGGCAGTCAACCAGGACCGGCAGTCAACCAGGAACCATGCTCACAATTCACATTATCCCTTTCAAAAACAATACAAAACGCACTCTGCCTCCAAATCCGGAGCATGCGCAACCAACCTGATGCGCCCCCCCCCCCTACCATCCCTTTCAACAAACAATGCAAAGTACACTCTGGCGCAAAATCCAGGAGTCATTTTCGTGATGCCCACGAGCATTTTGTGTTGTTTTGGATAGGGATGGCGGGGGTGTCAACATATTGCCTGCTGCGCGTAGGGCTACCATCCCTGACAAAAAAACAATACAACATGCACCTCGAGGCTAAATTTGGATCGTGCGCCCACCCCGCGATCAATGTCAAGTGGTTTTTGACAGGGACTGCGGGGGTGGTGGCGTATGGCCTGCTGTGCGCAGGCCCACCAGACACAATGATGGACATTGGTTTTCGACAAAGATGGTGCGGACCGACATGTTTCCCGATGTGTGCTGTCACGTGCGCAGGCGCACCTGGCACACTCTGCGCGTGCCCCGAACTTGGCGCACCTGGCGCGGCTAGAGTATGCGGCACACCTGGCGCACGCGGAGGCACGTTGCGCATCTGGCGCACCAGGCGCGCCTGGCTCGCTCGGGCCCAGGGGGGGTATCTGCGCGTGGCGCGCCTGCCGCGCGTGGCGCACCTCGCTCCAGTGTCGCGCACATGGGCTCGCCTTTGGCTCCCAGTAGCTGTCCATCCAAAGACGACCGCTGAACATGCTGAGGCTCCGGGTGCTATTTATGTGTTGGGTGGGCGGGTGGGAGTGAGCTAGACGGCTTGCTACCTGGAGGGTGTCTTGATCAATATTCCCTATTCGTATACACCGCCTCCCCCAGACGACCGGCAGCCAACCAAGAACAACGAGAATCCCATGAGGGCCACCGCCCACCATCCGTGCCAGTCAACAATGCACATGACACTTTCGGGCAAAATCCAGGCTCATGCTCGTGAGGCCCACGAGCATTTGGTATTGTTTTTGGATAGGGACAGCGGGGGTGTCAGCATACTGTCGGCTGCGCGAGTCGTCGCGCGCGCATGCCGAAGTCCTTCAAAAACCCAAGGCCTCGGAAGGATTTCGAACATCGAATGTCAACAAAACATATACGAACAAATGGTTTCGCAACGCAGCTTTCCCACCCCCCCCGCAACAAAAAAAAACGTGCGCGCGCGCACTTGTGAACTCTTAAAACTACAATTAGGTTTTCCAACAACTTCAACAAATAACGCCAAACGGGCTTCGCGCGCGCGTCGCAATCAGTCGAACGCCGAATCCTTTGCAACAAATGAAACGAGGTGCACGCGCGCGCGTCGTCGCGCGCGCATGCCGAAATCCTTAAAAAAACTTCCGTTCCGTTGCGAATAAAAACGGGGTGTTAAAAACATTCAGAAACATATGCGCGCGCTCTTGCGAATTCCTAAGAAAACCATCGGCTCTTCAACATGTTCATGGAATTCAGCCAAACGGGCCTCTGACGCCGCATGCCTACATCATTCGCGCACCCTTGCGCGCCGCGTCAAATAAAACCACCCGGGCCATTCTCGCGGGTCGGCCGCGCGCGCATGTCGAACTTTTTCCGTAACCCTCATCGCCGATGCGAGGACG